CACAAACCTAATTAAGGGTACAAATAATATGAAAATCACAATAGAAAACATCCAAAATAGAAGCTAGTTAGAAGCTTAGAGAAGACAACAGAAGATTGATATTCTAATTAATTAGCTATATCGAGCAACCTTGCTTTCCTTCCTGGAATTATACATACTTCTGACAAAGGGATCCACCAATGGGGATGCAATGCAAGGATGATTTTCACTGCCAAAAAGTCTAAAATGAGCTATCCCTCCAAACCCTAAGTAAAAACAAAATAGGATTTTGCTAATAGTAGCCGACACCTCCTAAGTTTTAGCTAAATCAAAATTTAAATGAATTGAAAACAATAATTATTTAATATAATAATCTTTAAAAAATACTTTGAATTAGTTATCAAAACCAAAAAAAAAAAAAAAAAGGCAAAAATAAACCAAACAGAGGTTAAGTTGAAAGGTTGTAGTACAAGTTGTCAGATGTAGCCAATCACTTCAGCCAAAAACAAACGATCGAGGAAAATGAGTGACCCATCATCGATCTTCCTACGTCAAACAGAGTCCATGCTACATCTCCAAATGCCAAAAAAGAAGCTTCCCTTCTCTCTCTCTCTCTCTCTCTCTCTCTCTCTCTCTCTCTCGTGTCTTTTTTGAAAATGAAATTTATTACACTATTCAATTAACTAATTTGTATTTATTTTTTTAAACTACATAATTAATTACATAATTATGATCATATTAAATTATTATTAAATAATTAAATAATTTTAATTTAGTCATTAAAATTTAAATAAATATTTTTATCATTCAATTATTATTTTTTTAAAAATATTTTAATGTGATAATTTTATATATGCTATTAGATGTTATCTGATGTTACAAATCAATAAAAAATTTTTTCGAAATTTATAATATTATATAAATAATATCACATGCGTATTAAATACTGTGACAATATCAGCTGACGCATAAAATGCTATTATTATATCAACGCAAAACTAACAATTAAATGATAAAAAATACTATTTAAATTTTAAATAATTAAATTAGCATTTTGAAAACATTGTGAAATATGATGACCGACACTATATTTTACTTTTTTTTTAGTATAGAAAGAGAGAGGAAAAGAGGGATTTTCTTTCATCCACAGGACAGAAATTTTCATGTTTCAAAGAAAGCAGGTAGAGAGAGAAAGAGGGTTGCATAAAAAAATTTGAAGCTTTAAATGCTAGTTGGTTGATTTTCTCTCTTCTTAAGCACTAAGCACACCTTTCTCTTCTTTCTCTCTCTCTTTTTTTTTTTTTTTTGTCTATATATAAGCTTCTTCTTAAACCTTGTTCTTTGTAGATCACCAAACCTTTTCATTTCAATTCTCTTTTGAACAATAGAAGGGGAAAATAATGGATTATTACGAATACCCATCTCGTTTTTCTATGTCTCCATTTCTTTGTTTGGGGAATTCATTGAAAAGGTCAAAGATTTTTGCAATTTCGCTGTTTCTGCCATCATTGGGAACATTTTCTCTGCGATCTTAACCTTCTTCTTTGCATTAGGTTGGTTTATTTATCTCTTTCTTTCTGTTCTGCTTCATTGTTGCTTTAAAAGCTTTTTTGGATTTCTCGTTGCTGATCTAATTTATAGCTTTTTCCCATTGAAATCCATTTGATTCTTGATCTATTCATTGCACTTGATATGGGTTTTGGAACAAATTGAATTTGGCTTCAATTGTTTTTCTCTCCTATTATTAGCTCAAATGATATGTTCAATTTTTTTGGTTGAATTTTTGCTTTTTTGATATAGGTATCATATTTATTTTATAGTAATTATTATAATTTGGCCAGTGTTATTATATGATAAAAGATAAATCTATTTAAGTTGCTGTTCTGTTTTTGTTGGATTGCAATGATATGAAAATGTTTTGCGTGCAGACAAAGCAGTTTGGATTAATTTGTCTTATATTTTATTTCCAACATACGCCTAGAATTAATGACATGTTTGGTTTCTTAGAATTTTAACATGTAAAACGCTTTAATGCCTGAGTTAAAACTTTTTGTACTCAAATTTTGCTAAAGAGATTGACATTTTTGTCTGCAGTGGGCACCTTGTTAGGGGCCATGACGGGGGCTTTGATAGGACAAGAGACGGAGAGTGGGTTCGTTCGAGGGGCTGCTGTTGGGGCTATATCTGGAGCAGTTTTCTCAATCGAAGTCTTTGAATCTTCCCTTGTTCTTTGGCAATCTGACGAATCCGGGATCGGATGTTTGCTTTACTTGGTGAGCACTGAGCAGTTTATTTTATTGCCCTGGTTTTATATGTTTGGTTGCTAGTTTCTAACTTAATTGAAAGAGTGATAAAAAAAAGAAAAAAAACACTTGATTCATCTAAATTGATGAGTTCCTGATACCATGTTCACAAATTTCAACCTACTTTGGTTATAGTAATGCTTCTAGGCAATCCTAGTCATTTTCCTGCAAATTGTGCAGATTGATGTCATTGCAAGCCTTCTAAGTGGGAGGCTTGTTCGTGAACGAATTGGTCCAGCGATGCTGAGTGCAGTCCAAAGTCAGGTAAAATGCTCTGCAAAATGATAGTAGTCTCTGTGATAGAAAGTGATGGTTCCATCAAAGCAATTTGCTTATGATCTCAGTTTCTGTTATCAGATGGGAGCTGCTGAAACAACTTTTGATGAGGTCCAGAACATCTTTGACACTGGTGGTGATAAAGGATTGGCTGGAGATTTGGTTGAAAAAATCCCAAAAATCATAATCACATGCAATAACAATATAGATGCTTCTGGGGAGAAAGTTTCCTGTTCAGTTTGCCTTCAGGTCTAACCATACTGTATTTTCTATTTCACCCCATTCTCAGCAAAACTAGTTGGATAAGAAGCTTATTGAATCGAGGTTTAGAGTTATCTTTATCTTTTGCAGGACTTTCAGCTTGGAGAAACAGTAAGGAGCTTGCCGCAGTGCCATCACATGTTCCACCTGCCTTGCATAGATAAGTGGCTTCTTAGTCATGGTTCTTGTCCATTGTGCAGAAGGGATCTGTAATCTTATTTTTGTAAATTATATAATTAGAAGAGTTGTTTATATTTTATTTATACCGATGTCACTTGCCAGGGCTTTTGTATTTGTTCATCAAATGCTTGCCTACTCTGTCTCTTTGAGTAGTCCGTGTATATCATATCGCGGGATTGAACATTGTACTCGATTAGCCCTTTGTATAAAGGTATTGGTTTACAGTTCTGGAACTTCTGAATTGCCTAACTTGAAATAGACTCTTGTTCTTTCTGGAAATGAGTTTGTTGTAAAGAGTGATAGTGCATACATGTGATCATGGTGTTGGTATCTAAGTTCTCAAGATGTTTCATCCTGGATTGAAACATCCAGTTTTTTAGTTGTATTAATTCCTGATATAGAAAAGCTTTCAATAGATTCAAGGCAAACGATGCGCATCAGAATTCAGATCCAAATGTATTTATTGTCTGCTGGTTGCTTCTTCTGTATATAGTTGAGAATCATAGACAAATTTTTCGAGTCTTACCAGTTTAGCTAAGAATCGTAGCAAGGACCATATAGTGTTCTACTTCAATGATTATTGTCTTTATTGTTAATACAAGTTCGTCAGAGGAAGCCATCGACAGTATGAATCGAATCCAACTATGTTCAGATATCAACCATGCAAAGGCCAGATGACATGTTAACTCTGAAAATATTTTTCAGAGCCAGTTTGCAAGTCTCATTTATGAAACTGCAGGGTCTTGCAATAAATAAATAAATATATATATATATATAGGGAAGCTGAGGGAGTAGTTGGTCAGATATTTTAAGCCGTAAGCTCTTGCTTGATAGAGATTAGAGCGAAAAGTGAAATGGGTTAGAAGTTAGAACAGGATATTGAATTGCATACCCAGTGGAATGGGTCGAAATTTGTCTTTGCCGACTTGCAAGACTTGGGCAATTATTTTCGTTAGTACAGATTTTCAAAACTTAATTTGAATTTAAATCGTTTTTTTTTCTCCAAAATTGAATCGAATAAAATCAAATTTTATTGGTTTAGTTCATGTTTTATAAAAATTAATTATTTTTATTTTTTGCAATTATTTTCATATTATTTTAAATAAATTTAGATATAAAAATAATTATTTTATTTTATAAAAATTAAAAATATATATAAATTAATAAATAATAAATAATTCAGTTCAATTAAAATATTTTTAATTTTTTTGTTTTTTATTTAAAACTTCAATCGAGTTAAAATATAAAATATCCAAATTTAAATCCAATAAAAAAAATCAATCCAAATACTATAATTTTGAATTAATTTTTTATTTTTCGGATTTTTTTTCTTCCTCACAGCCTGTTATATCGTCAAAAAAATGCTTAAACAATCGGGACACATTCCTAACTCTGACCAAATAGTTGGTGAACTTGGAAAAAAATATTCATGTTTGATTATTTAAAATCAAATCAAGCTAGTCTCGCTTGCAAAAGTCACGCCTCTCCAGCGGAAAAGAATAGAAAAATCCTCAGTTAAATTATAAACAGTCAAGCTTCAATTTGCAATTAAAATCTGCCCTACAATATCATTGAACAACAACCAATGAGTATTCTCAAATTTTGTTGGAGTTTAATTTCTTTTCCTAATGATCTTTATTCTTCAATAGAACATGCCTAGCTGAGGCAGCACTGCTGGTTCTTCCTCACTGCAATGACTCACCATCGTCATAAGCCCAAGATATTGACATCTAAATATGGATTAGATTGTTTCATCGGAAATATTTCAATTACAAAAGTTCACTAATGTAATGTAACATTAATATAATCAAAGATCTAAAAAACTTGATGAACAGCTGAAAAATAGAAGGCTAAAATGATATATAAGTATAACCAAGCATGCGCGGGAGTAGATTGCAGAGTACAGACACAGATGCAAAGCCGTTAAACAAAAGGAATTATTAACTTGTGGACAGCCATCCAGCTACCACATTAAGATCTTGTACATTTATAATTGGAGCAATGGCGTCCCAGCCAATAGCGTACTGGTTGCAAAATTATACTGGTAATATATATTGGCAAATGTTTTCACCTACTTCAACCTATGCATTTTGTTGTGCTTTGGATGTATCAATCCCCCCCCCCATTATAAAAAAAATAAAAATACATCTGGGTCTACCAAAAATGAAAGGTATAAATCTGGTAGATAAAATGTTTACATAGTGGAAATTAACCTTTTTCTTTTTAAAGTTTTTAATCAGAAAAATATATTATTCAAATGAATTACATTCATTAAACGTTTCTTCAGCGGTCAACATTGTAGCAGAGATGACATTCCTCCATCAAATGTCAGAATCTGACGTTTCTTCTCATGATAATTGCAGAAATAACAGCAAAAAGAAGAAGACTAAAGATTAATGGCAACAGGGTTAGTTGATTTGTAAGGTTAAATACTATGTTGTAAGTTCTAGATTTGAATACGTTATTACCAAATTTTATAGTAAGCGATTTATAAATCTAATGTAAGCTCTCCCTTAGATTTAAACTTAGTGGTTTGTCCTCTAAACTTAAAAATAAATAAATAAATAACTAGAGATCAACAAGGTTTATATATCCTTTTCCAATATGGAACGGATGTTTCTCGAATTTCAAGTTGAAACAGTGAAACGGCAATTTTTTTCCTGTACTCATGTGGTCAGTTTCATGTGATTCATTTCCTCATGAAAACATTTGAAGATTATGCCTTCAGTCTTGGGGTAATATTTAGCAGTCAAAGTTCACGAGAGCTATATGAACATTATTTATCTCACGGTTCAGTCCACAAATGAATGGTGAAAAAGGAGTGGTTTTTAAGAAACCATACTTTTTTGGGAATCGTTATAAAAAAGGGCCAATCGATTATCAAATTTCATCAAAATTTTCAGTACAAAGAAATCTACTGTGCTTCTATTTCCTTTTCAATTTGCTCATTCCACCATTCCAGTTCAAATATTTTAAATTTAAGCTCGAACTACACATTGCAAAATTTCTTGGTAACAGATTCCACGCCTGTATAAAGAATACAGGCCTCAGGCCTCAATCAAAATTTCCAGATATATTCTGACAATAAGATCCTGGGATATATAAGGATCAAGTAGACAATAACTCACATTCCACACAACTGACAAAAATTTTAGAATCTAACTAAATTAAAATTAACCTGGCATAATCCTTATAGGACTAGCTTTACATTAAGTTGAAGTTGATAGTAACTGGTACTATGTTTTTCTTTAAAAAAGAAATGATTTCATCTCCCACCTTAACCACAATGGGTTGACCTTTGCTGTTGAATTTGATGTTAGAATCTTGCCCACACAGAGAAACCCGTGAAACATCAACAATAGATCAAGTTTTCAAGGTATGGATTTTAAAAATAACCAAGAAAATAAGTCATGGGTTTAAATTTCTCAGCAGAATTAGGGAATCTGGCACAGAGGACAACCGAAGAAATTGCAATGAACAAAACCCTCAAAAATTAACGAACTTAATTGATAATGAAGTCAAAAGATCAAAACAACCACAGTAGGACATCCAATAGCTGGATCAAACTTGCTTTCAATCTTAATCACACCATTAAAAATACTTATGATAATTAATTGCTTGGTCCATCTCCCACTTGATCATTTTTTTTGTGGGGTCTTTTCTGGACCCTTGGAAGCATGTCTTGCCACTAATTAAGACGTTGATTAATTAAAGATTTTGGATTCTTATAATAACCCACCGCTCTTGTAATACCCGTAAAAAATATATATGTTTTAAGAATTTTATAAGTGAGGGGAGCTTCTAATAAAACTTAAAAAAAAAAAGATTTATTAATAAATAATTCAATTTGTAATTAGATTTATTTATATTATTATTTTTGGTCTATGGAAAGAAAATAAAGTGTTATTTTTACCTTTCTTTCTTATATAAAATAAATAAGTCAGAAAGATTTCAAGTAAATGATAAGAATAAAATCTACAAAAAGATTTTTTTTTCATAGGTGAGTAAATAATTTTTTTTAATTTAAAAAAATAATATTAATTGTTAAGTCTTAAAATTTAATTTATAATCGAAAAATTTTAAAATTTTAAGAAATTTATTATCGGTAAATCATTTAGACGTTAATCAAGATCTAATAAAATGTTGAGAAAATTTAATAACGTGGATTTATGGATATAAAAATAGGAAACAAAAATTTGATAAGGTTAAAAAAAAAATTTTGTATTTTGTATGAATCTTAATGTTTGTAATTGTAGATTAAGATAATAATTTGTATTACATAATAAAATATTATCATGATTATTATATACCGTTGGAAAGGTTACTGAATTTCCTTTCCAATGTAATATAAGAAACTCATTTTTGAGTTTTCTATGAAAGTAGTTTAATTTTTTACTAAGGATGTGCAGGTTATTTCATAACAACAGCAAGGAGAAATTTCAAAATTTTTCTTAATTTTCATACAAGGAATTACAAATTAAATCATATATGTTTAGAAAGCTTATTGAGTTTGCTTTCTAACGAAATAAGCAGAATTGAATTTGGAATTTCCTATAAATAAATGTGTAATTTTTATTAGAAGGTATATGTGCTATCTGATAGCAACATATGACATGGATTGCAAAAATTATTATAATTAATCTACAAAGAATCACAAGATAAGTCATATACGGTTAGAAAGTTTATTGAGTTAAGTTTCTAACACATTAAAAAGATCTTAATTCTAATCTGGATATATTGAGATATGGTCATTTTAATGAAAGAAGGTTAGATTGTCAGTATTAGTTAGTTGAGTTAACTTTTGTGTAACTTAATTGTTTTAGTATATATGGTCTCAAAAAGAGTTAATTAATTTTTGATATATCGAAATGATTTTGGATAGGCCATTAATTATTTTGGAGGAAAAATTAAGTGGTGAAATCGAAAGGAGTTAAGTAGAATCTCACACATTTTGTTTATTTTCAAACCTATGTATATATGTATGTTTTTGAATCAGTAAATATTTTATTTCTTTATTTTCGATATATGAAAATAGGATCAAACATATGATTATTTTATATTTTGCTATGTAAATGATGGATCATGCTTATAAATGAAATGATAAAAGGATTTATGCAAAAAAATAATTTTATGATAGTTACGTTTTTACATTCTTAAGAAGTGAAATCATCAACACCAGAACTAGTTCTACGGCTTTAACTAAGGGTTATAATAGTTAGCATATATATGATCATATAACTCTGGCTAACGAGTTATATTAGTTAGCATTAAGCTCTGGCTAACGGGTTATAATAGTTAGCAATGATCATGATGATAAAATTATTGATACGACCAATTTCATAAATTATAACAATGATCGTAGCTAATGATGAACTAATGATTTGTGATTATTTAAAGATTGATCTATAATTTGATTTGATTATGATATTTGAATTGTAACATATTTTGCAATGATTTATGAATTGACAGGTTTTAATTTTAATTTATGAATTTATAAAATATTTGACAAAATAATGATCTTTGAAATGTTTTGACATTATAATTTAACGAATGTTTTGAATGGTATATATGATATGTATAAAAATAATGTTTGATTTGATAAGGTGTGTAAGCTTATATTTACTAAGCTATAGGTTGTTCATTCCTCTTTTATTTTTTCTTTACAGATGAATAAGTGATAAGTTTGCTTAGTTATATGAAAAGCTAGAGGATCTTATTAGAAAGATTATTCAGACATTGGAGAAATTATTAGCTAGTAAGCTCTTATAAAGTTGTTTAATATTTTTATTAGTTTGCTTTTGGAAATATGAAGATTTCTCATTAATTAAATTAAAGTTACGAATTTTTTTAAACAGATTATTTTATTGAAGAATTTTAGAATGAAAAAATAAATTTTGTATTACTTTGAGATTTTATTTCAAAGTAATATAACCGTATTATGTTTCGATCTTAAGGCGAGACAGCTCTTGCCCTATGCAGGAGAGACTAATCCTGCATACTACCATTAGTGACACTAACTTAGTCCCGGGAATCATGCACTGAAATAACAGAAGAAAATAAAGATGTGATGCAAGGAACAGTTATTGATTTTTCTTGTCTATTGTGTTTACATGACAGTTTTTGAACTTAAGAACATGGAGATTCTATGCACTTTTTTTTTTCCAACAATGGCATTAAAATTTTTATGTATTCTTTGGCCTATGTGCCGTCTCAAAAGAAGACCAAGTCCATGATAACTTGGAGAGTGACTCCCGAATATATAGACTTGTGTTTGAAAATAAGGTTTGCCGGCTAGAGATCAGTCTTTTACGAAACTGCTCTTAGCTTACCTGCTTTCTTTTTTCCTATATCCTCTGACTGCCTATTTTCAGTCAAGGAATTTGTTCAGTCCATAAGAAAATTAAATAAAAGTCTTCAAAAAATGGACCAATGGAAGAAATGAGCTGATTTAACAAATTTTTGTTTTTTGGGTTGGGGCATTTACTTATTTATTACATGCAGGGGCAAGAGATTATTCTCAAACACCTGATCATGCTCATAATCATAACCAAATGTGGGCAGTTCTTATTGTTGCCATTTTAACAGTCTTGCTGGGATCCTCCTTGTTCTTCTTTTGCAGAAGAAAGATTTGCCAGAGATGGAGCCGTCAAGGTTATGCTTAGACCCCTATCTTGCTTTAGAAACGTTTCATGCTTAGCAGTTCTGTTTCAAATGTCAATTCTGTAGGTTTAACAGCTTTCAGAATGTCAAAGTGCTTAATCATTATTCTCAATCGAAAGTTATTCTTCCATTAAATTGCTTGCTCCTTATTTCATGAACTAATCTTTATTCTCGGGGAAAATAAACCAATAGGAAGTCTGAAAGCTGAGAAATTAAATTTGAGGCGTTTCCAGTTAGAGGAGCTAGAGAAGGCTACCAAGAACTTTAGCAAAGACTGTTTGTTGGGGTCTGGTGCATTTGGAAATGTCTATAAAGGAACCTTTGAAGTTGAAGGTACGTTAGCAATCAAGAGAGCTCATGCTGAGTCATACCAAAGCGTTGAAGAATTTACAAATGGTAAGCCGCCTTAATTCTACATGCACAATTATAGTATAATTTATCACGGTTAAAGTTTAGTTGAGGGACTTTAGATCATGGAGTGGATAATTGATTTGTTTTACTGGTTTCTTGAAACAGAAGTCAGGCTTCTGTCAACAGTAAATCATCCCAATCTCGTAAGTTTGGTGGGTTTTTGTGAAGAATCTGGTACGTAAATTATGCTCCAAGTCATTGAATAATTGATCAATTGTTTAAGTTAGCACTAAGAATCTAAGAAAGGAAAATTCTTATTGCATTTGTAACAGGACCAAAAGGTGCAAAAATATTGGTTTATGAATATGTACCTCATGGTTCTTTACTAGAGTATATCATGGGTAAGTTCCCCACTTTGTTTCAAGTCACAAAAACAGCTTTCACAGAGACAAGAAACCAAAAAAAAAAAAAAAAACCTCATGTTTTGCTCACTTTTTGGAGTGCAGGAAGAGGAGGAAGAAACTTGACGTGGAGGCAAAGAGTAAACATAGCTATTGGAGCAGCCAAAGGTAGATTTCCTACAGAAAAATTGGTTTAACTTTAATATAAAATATGTATAAAATATTGTTAACAGATTTACCCTGAAATTAAATTGTTTTTAACAGGAATAGCTCACTTACATGATGGGATTAAGCCTAGCATAATCCACCGTGATATAAAACCCAGCAACATCTTAATTGGAGACGGGTTCGAAGCCAAGGTCTCAGATTTTGGACTTGTGAAAATGGGACCTATAGGAGATCAATCACATGTGAGTAGCCAGATCAAAGGAACACCAGGATACCTTGATCCTGCATATTGTACAAGTTTTCATTTGAGTCCATTTAGTGATGTTTATAGCTTTGGTGTTATCCTTCTGCAACTTGTTTGTGCCCGGCCGGCTGTGGATTCAACTAGAAATCAACCAAATTTCCATATCATTGATTGGGTTAGTTAATTTATCCGTTATGATTTTGGTAAGCTGCCAATTTATACACTACACGTGTGCTAAAATAAGCTGTTAAAAATGCAGGCTAGGCCCAGTATAGAGAGGGGCAGCATCGACGAAATCCTTGATACTAGTCTTTTATCTGAGCCAGATTGCAACATGGAAATAATGCTGAAGATGGGTGAACTTGGTTTAAGATGTGTAGTGAAAATGCCTAAAGACCGTCCTACAATGACTCAGGTATGGCAAGAACTAGAAGATACATTTTATTCAGTTGACAACTTCATGAACAAGCAGCCTTCAAGAGGTTCTCGAAGAACAATTGGCAAGTTTCCTCCACTATCAGAACAAGGACATCGTAGATCATTGGACCAGGATTATTCTCAAAGCTTTGTGAGCGTAGATGGCGTTGGATTTCAAAAGTTTCTCGTTGAGATGGATAGCGTTTCACTTCAAAGTACCAGCTTAAGATGTTTTGAGATCAACACCATTAACAGCGTTGATGTTGATAAGAAGAATTTGGGAGGAACAAGTGAGGAACACAACCAATCGTGATCTCCCATTATAAAGTTATAAATAAAAAAAAGGAAAATAAAGAAAGTCATGACCTCAAAATCAGTGAGAATTTGGTGCAATTTAAATTCTTTAGCATCTGGATAAGACTATTAATACTTACAATTAGCAAATTTAACAACAATAGCTTGCTATAAATATTATGAAACTCCATTTGTGAGAACTGCAAGAATAGAAGGCCTAAGATGATCAATTTCTTCTCTAGTACTTTCTTTTTCCCAGCCAATTCAACACCAGAGATAGGAGCTCATTTCTTCTACATAGCTTGGTTCACTTTCCTTTTCATCTTCATCTTCGGGTACCTTGGCATTTTCACAATATGCCACAAGATCAGCATACATTTTCACAGATGCCTTTGAAAACTCAGCCACGGATTCAAAAACTGAATAAAATCCTGTTTGAAATCCTTTCACAGTTATCTGCTGAGTCTCTTCCATGCTAACATGGTGTTTTACTTTCTCAGCATCTATTCTTTTCCTGAACATATCCAACAGATTTTTTCTTTCCGCCAAATACTCAATCCGATTCCGTACATTCACTCCTAATTCCTGATCAGAGAGTTTTGAACCAAGAATCCTGCTCTCTGTTCTCTGGAATGCCAAGACCTTCCTCTCAAGTTCTTTGGCAAGTCCATCGACCTTCCTCTTCTGTTTTTGCTGCTCACCCTGCTGAACCCAAAGTCCCCGGATATCCCTCCCAAAGCTTTTCAATGCACAAATTACAGCGTCATTTGGCAACTTCTCAAAGCTAGCCAACCATTCATGACATATTGCCAGTAATGGTGGTCCATTGACTCCTAATTCAGGGGCTGAAGACCTGTTCTTGGAGCAGAATTCAACTTCAGGGGCAATGAACTTGGAAAGCCATCCAGTGAGGGCTTCAATGTATGCCTTTTGTGCAGAAAAATATGCCACAAAGCAAGAAAGCCAATTATGAAGTTCTGCCTCAAGCTGAAGAGTGGCAAGACGGTGAGAGTCATTGCAAAACTTTCCATAAGCAGGACAGTTGAAAGACGTAACTTCAAACATGATGCGGTTTTGGGTTTCATGTGATTCCAACATAATCTTCCAGTTCCTCATTAGGCTGCAGAAGAAGAAATGAAATTATCATAATGAATAAATCTGATACATCTGAATTTTTTTTGTCATTTACTTTCATACCCATGTAGCAGCTCAATAAGTTGTGGCTGCAACTCTTCATCCCTTAGTTTTTCAATTCTCTCGGTGATTGTTTCTGCACTACGTATTGCAACCAAGATTCTGCTATGCAAGTCTTTCACTTCAGCTCTGGTTTTGTCTCCGGCATAGAGGCCATCTTGTTTAGCACTACGGCTTCTCGATTGAGAACATTTTTTAGCATAAGTTTTCCTGGTCTGGTCTGCAGCCTGAGCATGTGAATTATAACATGTTAGGCAGCTATGGCAAATGCTTACAAAAACATGAATTTTGGATGTACTCAAGCACTCAAAAACTGATTTCATTTTTATGCAAATTGAACATTTCAAAACTATAAAGTTGGAATCCACATCATATGTTTAGTTTTATGCTACTTCGCTTATTAAACTTGCAATCCAATCAATCTCAACTCATATTAATCATTAAACATGTAATCAAACTTGCTAGACTCATTGTGTCAAAGGCAGTTACAATTTGTCTGAAAGACTATCCACATGAGCATGGAGAACATTCTTGTGTAAATGTAGCAGTCTAAAGACAGCATTTTATGGGAAATAAATACATGGTTTCTTCATAGATCATGAAGACTTTTCACCACATCGGACTACATTCTCAATTGAATGATCAAGGGAAACGAAACCAAGTGAAAAGCAAGGGCAGGACAAAAATTTATCAAGCAAATATAATATTTTCCATTTGTTATCGGTAAACAACTTCTCAGTTTGTAAGCTTTACAGAGTAGCCACAGGCTTTCACATCTCTGTCTAAACCAAAAAAAAAAAATAATAATCTAATTTTTTACTTTCAAATTTTAGAACTTAAACATCAGAATAGTGTGCAGTAATGGCAGCAACCATCCATGGTAAATAATGCAAAAGGAATTAAGTGGTTCAAGCGAAAAAGTAAAACGAAAGAAAACATTTAAAATGTGTGTTTGCGTGCGAGAAAAGAGAGAGGAAATGTTTCCATCTTTGGTCAGCAATGGAATTATGTTTATAATACCTTCACCTCCTTATAGAGTTTCTTTTCCCAAGCATACAACCTTCCTAGGGTCAATGAGTGGCTTCCAGATTCCATTCCTCCAAAATCATCAAACAGATCAGTCTTTAATTCTGTCCATGTAGAAGAACTTCTGGAACTACATGAAACAAGGCTTTTACAGGAAGAAGATCGGGATAATGGAGACCGGCTCCAAGTAATTGACCGGATTAGTTTATTCGAGCTCTCTGCAGCCAGACAGCATGTTAAACAATTTAACGAACTAATGCATGCCAAAAATGGATATGTGCAGACCATGGAACAGGTGACATCATTTGAATGAAATGGAAGTATATATATTCCTCAAATCAAAAGAAAAGTATTACTAATACATTGCTGTGGAGGTCCAGGGGATGGTAAATAAGCCCATGAATTCATATTCCTAGTTCAGAGGTCTCCTAGGTAATGGAATGGCCTATCAATCAAGCTCTTCAATTAAATGAAAATTACCAATTCTTATTCTTAAACCGTTTGCAACAACAAAATTATTGCCTGAAACAAGAACATGAATATTTCTAAGAAAATCACATGAACACTCTCAGCATGTTCAAGAAACAGAAAAAATGACATAGAAAGAATAAAAAAATAAAAGGGAAAGACAACATAGCACACCTTTAAGTTCCTCCAAACCAGATTGCAACTGAACTCTATTGGCCTCTAACATTCTACTGACATCCAAACCAGAATCATATGCTCTAAGAAAATGGTCCTCAACATCCTTCAATGCTTCCAACAACTCCCTCTCATTTGTGGGTGTATTATTAATCATTCTGAAACTATTTCTTTCACCTTGGCTCACATTTGCATATTGATCATCCCCATTTCTCAAATCTGTATTCTTATTCTCCCCATCACCATCATGTTTCACATTCTCAACCTTTCTCCCACTCATAACTCTCTCGCCATCCTCTTCTAGGTCAGGAATTCCCTCTTTCTCTCTCACCACTCTCAATTCCTCATCAGAACTGCCACTAACGCTACTCACTACCTCTGTTTTCACTCCATCAAAAGGGTTGAAGAAATCCCATGCAAACTCCTTTTCTAGTGATGGCATTGCTGGCGGAGCTTCTTCACCATAAAAATGCTCACAAATAACCTCGTCTTCTTCCTCTTCACTCTCTTGCTCGTCTTCCACGGATTCAAGACAACCCTCTTTATCATCTTGAGTTCTTGGAACTTCTTCTTGTCCTTGATCTTGATTTCCTTTCTTCAGAAAAACTTTAGAATGAGAGGATTGACAAGGAATGGTTTCATGGGTAAGCTCAGTTGGCCTTTGTTTAAGGAACATTGGATTGATAATAGGGATCTCACCAGCCTCATTATTAGAAGTAGCTGGGAAAGTGATGAGGAAAGGAGAAGAAGGAGAGGAATGTCTTGCTACAAATAAACTTATTGCAGCTGCAACCGCATAAAGAGACTGATTATACTTACATTGAGCATCAGCAAGAGCATATCTACGCTCCACAGCTAATTTCAAGAGGTGTTTTCTCTCTTTACACAGTAACACAACGTTATCTTCCTCTTTCTTTGAAGTAGCACAACCCATTTCTTTTTTTGTTTCACTCTGCTAAATGCTATGGTGGATTTTTGCTAAATTTGAAGTTGGTTTCTTGATTAGACCATATAATGAACCCTTTTTAGCAGGAAAAAAGACTGGGTTTTGGTTTTGGCAGAAAGGTGTCTTGGAAAAGTTGTAGAGAATCACTGGAGCTGTGCTCACTGACCTGTGCCTGGTACTGGATGGCGTTTTGGGTTTTACGTAGTCGTTTAACTCAAAAAAAGAAAAAAAGAGCCAATTAACCTTTAGGAAAATGAAGGTGACTGGATGAGTCTGTCAGAGGATGAGATAAAGTGACACACTGTAACTGATATTCTTGCTTTTTAAATGCACTTTTAGACTTGCAGGGGTTGAAACTTCAAACCATTGCTCTTGCTTGTTCAACATGAACTTGCATTCTTGCAAATTGCAACAACAATAAATGAAGATTACTTTCTTTGGTGTATATTTACTGCAAATGGGTCTCTAACAAGGCAGTAAATTTCCTTACTTTTCCTTTCCATTGCTGTCATAGAAAGAGATTGTGGATATGGCAGAGATCTTTTAAGACAAATGCTGGAAACCAATAAGTGAAACGAGCTTATCCAAAAAAAAAAAAAATCAAAAACAGTAGACACTAGGAGTCCCCCAGAGTCAAAGCCTAACCTCAACACTTTTTGTCTTGGGTAAGAGAGAAAAAAATACGGTAAGCTCTGTTTCTTGCTTTGTCTATGGAGAGAGAAATCAAGTCCAAGCTCTGTATAGGGTCGTGACAATCACTGTCCAGTTCACAAAGAACAGGTGTCTTGAATATGAAAGTAAAAACAAGCGGGCGTAAACTGGCTATGGCCTATGGGGCTAAGGGCAGGGGTACTCTTTACCCTTTTAAAAGAGGTATTAACTGAACTGAGGAAGATATTTGGCGGGGACTTCACTTCAGTTTTCCCTAGGAAGTCATAATTGCATTTTGTTACAGCTTATGGTAACGTAAAATTTCATAATCTGGCCCTTTGTGGCCGTCGGATCAGATTCTTTATGAGATTACAGCCGTTGGTTTTGTAATCATCATCATTCAACAGAAGGGTGGAAAATACTACAGCAAAGCGTAGTAAACAGGAGGGACAGTGGAAAATCCAATTGCTGACATGGGACTTTAATCTTCATGGTACAAAATTATATAAAAATCAATCTAAAGTATATTCGTTCATCTTTTCATCGTCACACGGTACACTAAAATATAGACAAGAATTTGGTACATCCTGAAAATTTATTATAGAATTACTGTCAACGGCATAAAAAACTATCTTTTAAATTATTATAAATCATGGAATATAAAAATAATATTATTTAAAATTTTAATAAAATTATTTTTTTTTCAAAAATTTAAAAAAATTATATTAATATATCAATATAAATTATAACATAATAATTTATATATATTAAATATAAAAATATATTATTAAATTAACTTACTATCCATATGATGCACGAATTATTTTTATTTTATTTAAATTTAAAATAATATAAAATAATATTATTAAATTATTAACATGTTTAAAAAATATATAAAATATAAATAATATAATTAAAACATCAAATCATAATAAAAATAAAATTTTAATTAACAAATTAATAAACTTTAAAATATATAATAAATAATATTGGAAGAAGAAAAATCATCCAAAAAATATTATAAAAAATATTATTAATTATGCCAACAAAATATTAAAATAAAAACTAAAAGTCTTATCACTTCAAATTAATTTTATTCAATTTATAACATCTTCAACTTTTTTTATTATTTTTGTACACTTACAAATTTATATAATTTTAAGATAAATTTTTTTTATTTAAGAGAAATAATAATTTTAAATATTTAAATAATATACGTAATAACTTACTCTCATGTACATTTTGTTTGTAGGAGTTCCAATAATATCATAATATTCAGCATCTATATGGTTTTCCAAATTTTTGTCTTTTTCAATTATTTTAAGGTTAATATCTAATACGAAATTATGTTCTTGTAAAAACTAAAATGAAATAGTTTTAAAATTTAAATAATAGTATTAAATTATAAACAATTATCTAAGAAAATTATTGGTAAAAAGTTTTAATGAAATGTATTAAATTACTTACCTTTAGCATTTTTCAAGTAAATACTGACTCTCATTTGCATAAAGTATCTCATGATCATGTGTAACAGTCAATCTTGAACTTTCATGAAAAATGTTGTAATCATTGAGTTTTACTTGAAAATATATGAACAGCCTATCAACTTTTTAAATAATAATATTAAATTATAAACAATTATCTAAGAAAATTATTGGAAAAAAATTTTAATGAAATGTTTTAAACTACTTATATTTTGTATTTTTTTCAAGTAAATACTGACTCTTATTTACATAAAATATCTCATGATCATGTGTAACAGTCAATCTTGAACTTTCATGAAAAATGTTGTAATCATTGAGTTTTACTTGAAAATATATGAACAACCTATCAACTCTTCTAATATTTTTCCACTTTGGCATCTCCATCTTCTTGTTAATGAGTTTTATATAAATTTAATTAAATAACATTGATATTCATACAAGTTTAAAAAATTATTTTGAATATGATATAGCCTCATTTTTTATTTGAAACAATTGTTCAGCTGTATACTCTAGAATTTGATTAGCTTTTCCATAAAAAATGACCAATGGTGCATTGCCAATCTCATCTGATATATTGACAATTAACTTATACCTATGATGGAATATTAATAATAATCAAACTTACCTTCAATTGCAAAAAAAAAAAAAAGTAAATATCCAAACGATTATGTTTTAAAAGTTACTTATTTAAAAATATCTCAATAAATTTTACTTAAATTGACACATAATGATGATGGAATTTAATGATACCTTATAATTGGAAGTTGGGTTTGAAGTGCACAATCCTTGCAAGCATAACCTCTGTCAACTTCTAACACCTTTTTTCTACACTCTGCACATAACAAATAATACCATCCATATCTTGTGTTGATTTGCATTATAATACCTTGACATGTGAACTTTTTCTCCTGTTGATAGTAAAAATAAAAAGTATTTTTCTTAATTATAATACAATATATATTTAAATTGAAATATATTTAACTAAAGTCTATAGTTCTTACCTTGCATGAATTGTTATTCATGACATGATAAATATCAGCTATCGATATCCTATTTGCAAATAACATTTCTTTAGAAGATACGACTTCTTTTATTGGTGTCAGATACTTTTGGACTTAAGAATCACCAACAATTTAACTGTATTTGCATCCAAAATTATAAATATATATTTTGTAAAATGCATTATATCTTTTTTTATGCTTCAATATTTTTTAACATAACTTTATATCTATTATTGAAGTACCTATTTAGAATTATAGCAGCTTCAGATATATCCAAATTCTTATATAACTTTGTTGATGATGTAGATGATAAATTGTATTTACCTAAACTAAATATTCAATATAAGAAACATTATTTTAAATAATTAGGATTAAAACTAAATTAAATAAAATATAGTTTTTTTTACTTATCTCTAAATTGTTTGGCAACAGTGGATGTCACAACCAATATGATACTTTCATTATTTCTTGCTAGAATACTGTCGTCAAGTTGATATGCAACTCCACCCCAAAGAGCAATTTCCATTGAGTTCCACTACAAGAAAAAAATCAAAATAGTTAGTTAAACAATTAATTTCACATATGCATTATGTAATTAAGTATTTCTCAATGCATACCTTGCATTTTTTATTTCTAATACCCTTTTATTAACTTTTTCACCTCAAACATCTTGATTCACAATTGAACTTATCTTGCTCGATTTTTCAAAAACATCTTTAAGAATCAAATAGTTTCAAAGAATAATTAGTTAAATTAATAAAAATACAAAATTAAAAAGAATTATATAAAGTTGAAGTCAATGGACCTGTCAAATATGTTTTATCAAGATAATGTGATTAAATAGCATCAAACTCTAAAAACTCAAATTTATGCAACTTAAGTGAACTATTCAAACCATTAACAATCTTGACAAATGTATTGGGTTTGAAGTAGACCATCAAATTGTTTTTCACAATTCAATAAGAGCCAGACACATTACAAACTTTGAAATTCTGAATCATGCAAACATTTTCTTCCATTAGTAGTGTACGATACTTGTCTGCCAAATTTTTTAATGACATTGCATGAATGTGATCATCCTGTAAAAAAAAGAAAATGTTTATTGAATAATTTTATTAGAGATATATAAAATGAATAATCTATTATGTATAAATTAGGAAAATAAAGCTCTCACATTTTCATCCAACAGAATCATTCCCTAACCTATAACTTCTCAATTCTTATTAACATTCACAACATCCCACATTCTAGTGATTTTTACTTTAACCTTCCATTAGTCTTCAATTGTTGAAACTGTTGCAAGTATTGGTAACCTTACATCATGCCCTATAAGAAAAAAAATGAAAATTTTGAATTATTTAAATATTAAATATAATTAGAATAAAAATGCAAAAAATTTGTAAATATATGCATACATTAAACAATTAAATATTAAATCAAGTGTGTCACTTTTGGAAAACATCATTAAACACCTCAGTGTATACAACATTATTTGTGCCTGAATGAATATCATGATCATTGTTTTCAATTAAAAATTTTAATCCCTATAGTGATGTTACTTTGGAAGCAGCTACATATAATTGGCTATGAGTGAAAACCATTTTTGGCAAATACATGCCAACATTTTCAAATGTTTGTCCTTGATTCTTATTTATGGTTATTGCAAAACAAACTTTGATTGAGAACTATTTTTATGTTAGAGTAAACGGCCATTTTGATTTTGAATAAGATATTTCCACTCGAGGGATGAACAACTGATCCCCACATCAGTCCCAATTATTGTCTCAGCTTCAATTACCTTAAAGCCCAATTTTGTGAAAACCAATCTAGTACCATTGCGAAGACCAACACTTTGATTTATGTTGCGTAAAAGAATAATAGGAACCCTAACTTTCAAATCAATTTCATGATTAGGTACCTTGGGAAATTTAAGTGAATTTAAGAATTATGGAGGATATAAAATATACTGTTTTTCAACATTAGCTGAGGCAGGTGAAATCCTATTAGCATTGAGATTTTTTTTTACTTCACCAAGAAGCTTTAAAGTATGTAAGTATTGACTTGATCAACTACTTCGTTAGTCGGTGCTAATATAACTCGATCTTTTAAATAAGATGGATAATTGAATGTATTTTTCAAATTAAGATATGTATAATCAACAATTTGCCATATTGAATCATTCCCATGCAGAATTAAAAACTAATCTGAAATATTAATCTATGTTGAATCTACACTTTCACTTGGTCCAACTAAAGACAACCTGCCATCACCCAAGTTTAATAACCATTAGCTAAAGTCTAATATTGAGTTGCATGATTGATTTTTTAATCTCATAGTAATAAAGAGAGTAAATATTTGACAATGTTCCCAAATTTCAGATCTAGAAATTGTAACGACTATAATGTCACTTCTGCTACCTTGAGAAACCACTGACAATATTTGCTTAAAATCACCTCTTAATATCATAGTTTTTCTCCAAAAAATCTTTTGTTCAGAATTAGGATCCTTGGAATGCATAATATCTCATAACATGCAATCAACAGCTTCAAATGCATGTTTGTGTGACATTAGAGCTTCATCTTATATGATCAAAGTTACCCTGCAGAGTAGTTTAGCAAGTGAACTGCCTTGCTTAACATCACAACATGAGTCTTTGTCTAACTTTATAGGAATTTTAAATCTAGAGTGCACTGTTCTCCCC